CTACTGATGGGCACTTGGGCTGTTTCCAGATCTTAGCTATTGTAAACTGTGCTGCTATGAACATCGGGGTGCATATATTCTTTCTGATTAGTGTTTCAGGATTCTTAGGATATATTCCTAGAAGTGGGATCACTAGGTCAAAAGGCAGCTCCATTTCTAATTTTTTGAGGAACCTCCATACTGTTTTCCATAGTGGCTGCGCAGTCTGCATTCCCACCAGCAGTGTACTAAGGTCCCCCTTTCTCCACATCCTCGCCATGTGTCATTGCTGATTTGTTGATGGAGCCATTCTGACAGGTGTGACATGATACCTTATTGTGGTTTTAATTGGCATCTCTCTGATGATTAGCCACCCTGGGCATTTTCTCATATGTCTCTTAGCCATTTGTATGTCCTCTTTGGAGAAGTGTCTATTCAGGTCCTTTGCCCATTTCTTAATTGGATTGTTTGTCTTCCTCTTGCTGAGTAGTATGAGTTCTTTGTGCACTTTGGAAGTTAGCCCCTTATCAGATACATCCTTGGTAAATATGTTTTCCCAGACCATGGGGTTCCTTTGATGGAGTCTTTAGGGTTTTCTCTGTACAATATCATATCATCTGCAAATAATGACAGTTTTACTTCCTCCTTTCCAATTTGGATGCCTTTTATGTTTTCTTCCTGTCTGATGGCTGTGGCAAGGACTTCCAGTATTATGTTGAATAAGAGTGGTAAAAGTAGACACCCCTCTCTTTTTTCTGTTTTTAAGGGAAATGGTTTTAGTTTTTGCCCATTGAGTATGATGTTGGCTGTAGGTTTGTCATATGTGGCCTTTATTATGTTGAGGTACAATCCCTCTATTTCCCCTTTGCTGAGAGTTTTTATCGTGAATGGGTGCTGGATTTTGACGAATGCTTTTTCTGGATCTATTGATATGATCATATGATTGTTGTCTTTCATTTTGTTTTTGTGATGTATCATGTTTATTGATTTGCGGACATTATACCAGCCTTGCGTCCCCAGAATAAATCCCACTTGACCGCGGTGTATGATCTTTTTAATGTATTGCTGGACTCATTTTGCTGGTATTTTAGTGAGGATTTTAGCATCTATGTTCATCGGGGTATTGGTCTGTAATTCTCTTTCTTTGTAGTGTCTTTATCTGGTTTTTGGGATTAGGATGATGCTGACCTCATAAAAAGAGTTTGGGAGTTTTTCCTCCTCTTGAATTTTCCCGAATGGTTTGAATAGAATAGGTGTTAATTATTCTTTGAATGTTTGGTAAAATTCGCCTGTAAATCCATCTGGTCCTGGACTTTTGTTTGCTGGGAGTTTTTTGATTACTGCTTCAATTTCATTAGTTGTTATTGGCCTATTCAGGTTTTCTGCCTCCTCTTGATTCAGCTTTGGAAGATTGCATGCTTCTAGGAATTTGTTCATTTCACTCATGTTGTCCAGTTTGTTGGCATATAGTTGCTTGTAGTATTTTCTTACAATCCTTTGTATTTCTGTTGGGTTGGTTGTTATATCGCCTCTTTCATTTCTGATTTTATTTACTTGGGTCCTCTCTCTTTTTTTCTTAGTGAGTCTGGCTAAAGATGCATCAATTTTATCTTTTCAAAGAACCAGCTCTTGGTTTCATTGATTTTTGTATTTTATTTTTAGTCTCTGTGTTATTAATTTCTGCTCTGATCTTTATTATTTCCTTCCTTCTACTTTCTCAGGGTTTTTCTTGCTGTTCTTGTTCTAGTTCTTTTAGTTCTTGTGTTAGATGGTTCATTACAGCTTTTTCTTGTTTCTTGAGATAGGACTGTAATGTTATGAATTTTCCCCTCAGGACTGCTTTCGCTGTGTCCCATAGATTTGGGGTTGTTGTCTGGTCATTTTTGTTTTTTTCCATGAAGTGTTTGATTTCTTCCTTAATCTCATTGGTAGCCCATTCATTGTCTAATAACATGCTATTTAACCTCCATGTGTTTGAATATTTTTGAGGTTTTTTTTTATAGTGGTTGATTTCTAGTTTCATGGCATTGTGATCCAAGAAGATGCTTGATATGATTTCAATCTTCTTGAATTTGTAGAGACTTGCCCTGTGGCCTATTTTTGAGAATGTTCCATGTGCACTTGAGAAGAATATGTATTCTGCTGCTATGGGATGAAATGTTCTGTAAATGTCAATTAAATCCATTAGATCTATTGAGTCATTTAAGTTCTGTGTTTCCCTGTTGATTTTATGTCTTGATGATCTGTCCTGTGCTGACAGTGAGGTATTAAATTCCCCCACTATGATTGTGTTGCTCTCAATCTCTCCCTTAAAGTCCACCAAGAAGATTTTTTATATATTTAGGTGCTCTTATTTTGGGTGCATAAATGTTTATAAGGGTTATTTCCTTCTGTTGGATTGATCCCTTTAGTATTATGTAGTGACCATCTTTGTCTCTTGTTATGGTCTTTATTTTGAAGTCTATTTTGTCAGAAATAAGTATTGCTTCTCCAGCTTTTTTTCTCTTTCCATTTGCATGGAATATTTTACTCCATCCCTTCTCTTTTAGCCTGTCTGAATCTCTTGCTCTCTGGTGGGTCTCTTGTAGACAGCATATATTTGGGTCCTGTTTTCTTATCCATTCAGCTACTCTATATCTTTTGATTGGACCATTTATTCTGTTTACATTTAAGGTTCCTATTGATATATATTTATTTATTGCCATTTTCCCCCTTTATGCTGATGTACCTTTCTCTCACTATTCCTTCTTTTTTATAGAGCAGTCCTTTTAGCATTTCTTGCAATGCTGGTTTGGTGGTACTAAACTCTTTTAGACTTCTTTTGTCTGGGAAGCTCTTTATTTCACCTTCAAATTTAAATGATAGCCTTGCTGGATAAAGCAGTCTTGGTTGCATGTTCTTGCTTTTCATTACTTTGAGAACTTCATGCCACTCCCTTCTGGCCTGAGGAATTTTTGTTGAGAGATCTGATGTCAGCCTTATGGAGGTTCCCTTGTAGGTCACTGCTTGTCTCTCTCTTGTGGCCCTTAATATTCTCTCTTTGTCCTTGCCATTTACCATTTTAATTATGATGTGTCTTGGAGTGGGTCTCTTTGGGTCCCTCTTGTTTGGAACCCTCTGTGCTTCCTGAACTTGTGTGGCTTTCTCCCTCGCCAGCATAGGGAAGTTTTCTGTCATTATTGCCTCCACTAAGTTCTCTATCCCTTGCCCTCTTTCCTCCGCATCTGGCATTCCTATAATGCGAATGTTGTTTCACTTTATGTTGTCCCAAAGCTCCCTTAGACTGTCCTCATGCTTTTTAAGTATTTTTTCTTTTTGCTGCTTTCATTGAGTGATTTTTTCTACCTTGTCTTCTAAGTCACTTATTCTATCCTTTGCTTCATTGAGCCTGCTTTTAATTCCTTCCAGTGTATTCTTGATATCAGATACAGCATTCTTTATTTGTCTGATTCTTGTTTATGATATGTATCTCTTTTTTCATGTTTTCACTAAGTTCCTCGACCTTACCATCTAGTGCTTTGTTCTTCTCATTAATTTCCTTGAGCATCTTTATAATCATTACTCTGAATTCTGTTTCTGATAACTTGTTTGACTTCATCCCATCAAAGTCTTTTTCT